AAATAAACTGAGACAACAAGCAGAAAAAAAAACAAAACAAAAAAACCTTCTGGCCCATGCTCGTTTTGTCCTAAATTTCCTGTCTCTTGATAAAGATGGAGACTCAGCTGCTGAGCGCTTCTGGCATTCTACTACCAAAACAAAATTTGCCTCAGGTTTGTGGAGAGATCCTCTGGACAATACATGGAATGGTCTGGACCCTGTCCTCATTTTGGGGCAGAGGGTCTGTCTGCATCTATTCTCAAAAAATGAATGCTGCTCTTCGATTACCAGAAAGATTAATCAAGCATACTGATTCTAACAAGCCATCCAGGAACGATGAAAGCCCTGAGATCTCTCTCTCTCCTTCCACAGATCAACAAAGTGAAGATCCTTCTTAAATACCTGATCCTCTTATGCTTCTTCGACACTACCGCTGCTGGTTTTGATCCTGGCGCCGCTCCTCCTGGCAGAAAGGGGGGTCTCTGTCTTGCTTTACAGGAACACTGCTGCTTTTACACCAAGTCTGGCATCATTCGTGATGGTCCCTTATGGTCTGCTTGGAATGGATTCATCCCCATTTTCCTCCCCATACTTTGGACCAATTCTCAGGCTACTAATTGTCTACTCCCGGAACAAGGATACTTGAAGGTCCTTGTATGAAGGTCATGTCAGCCATTTTGGTGCATGTGGCTCCCCACAAGGACGAAGGAGTCCATTTGTCTAGTGCATTTTCTTCTTAGATCTTGATTACCAGAAAGGGTCTTTTGAAGAGGGGGCTTGTAGGAAGTTTGATAACTTTAGTCCCGGGCCAGGGCGGCAGCATTGCCGGTTACAAAGACCTAGATAGAAATCTTGTCTAGTTAAGTAAAGACACGGTTAATATATACTAAAGTGGAATATCTAGATTACAACTAAGAGGGTGAGCCTGTTGCCCATATGGAGAAGGAATGTGGTCTTGTGAGCAGCTTAACGACTGATCTAAAGGTTACTGTGGACTTGGGACCCTCTACGTGCTGTTCTATACAATGGCTATGGCTTGGGGAATGGCAATCTTTCCTTGTCCTGAGATCAAAAGTGGCTCATGGGACCAGCAGTTAGTGTAATGGCTATGTCGCTGGACTCCCACAGTCTACCGCAGTTCGCATCCCGGACCCAGTGGCTTAAAACTCACACCAGGCACGTGTGTGTGCGTGCCCAAGACCCTGAGAGAAGAATGGAGAAGGGAGTGTAGTGTGGCCATCCCCCCTGGGGGGCGATTTCTCGCTTTCTGTCTCTATGTCTCTCTCTGTCTGTCTGGCGAGCTCACGCGCCCTATAGCAAAAACCTCTCAAAAAAAAAAAAAAAGTGGCTCATGATCTTTGTTTGGGGTATCAGTGCCTCACAGATGAGTCCCTACGCCTCCCCCAGCTACTGAGGTCGTTTCGCCAATTTAGTAGCTTTCCATTAACCCAAACCTCCCTAATGTTATCTACGTAACCCCAGTAGGAGAGGTGAATGCAGCACTCTTTATTGACATTATCCAGGCAGGTGGGGTGAGTCTCAGGAAATAATTCCCATTCAGCGCCAAGTTAGGGATCCGCATTCCTTCAGGACTATTGTAAAAGTTACAGTAAGACTGGGGGTGTTATTTTGCCCTTATGGGGTACCGTCAGTAAAGCTCATGGCAGAGAAATTGAGCACAAACCAGTCAACAAAACACAGTTAAAAACTGGAGCTCATAACTGCGGCCTTGCCTACAGGTCTACTCAGCCAAGCCTTGCTTAGACATGAGAGGCAGCTCCCCATGTTCTGCCTGTGTTGACTGTATGGCTTCCGCCAGGACTCCCATGTAGCCAACCACGGTTTGAGTCCCAGACCCGGTGGCTTAAACTCACGCTGGGTGCATGTGCGTGCATGCCCAAGATCCCGAGAGGAGAATGGAGAAGGGATTGCGGCGTGGCCATCCCCCCTGGGGGGTGATTTCTCACTTTCTGTCTCTCTGTCTCTCTCTGTCTTTTTGGCAAGCGCACACGCCCTATAGCAAAAACCTCTCCAAAAAAATAATAAATAAGTAAATAAAATAAAACTTCACTTTTTTACTAAAAACATCTCTTCCTACTTTACTCTGTGCGGCTTCAGTCTGCGCGTCAGAGTGCATCACTAACCTTACAGACCAGACTCAAAGAACAGTGCTATCTTGCACCATGCAGCTCAGGCCGCCCATCACGCTTGAGCCTCTGGACACGCCCCTCCTGTGGGGCCATAGTGATAGGATGCACCCTGGAACCACAGTCCACAAAAGTCACGGGACTTTGCAAGGCATATTTTGAGTGAAAAATATGTACTGAATGATCTCAAAGAAAAGCTAGGGGGCCAACTCATGGCGAGGCAGTTAAGGTGGCTGGACCCCACATGGAGGACACCATAGTGCAGGCCACCCTGTGTCTTGAGAAGCACAAGGTGCCTGTGCCTGCATGCCCAAAACCCCCCAAAAGAGAGAGGCATGGAGAAGACACTGCAGTGTGGCCATTCTCAAGGGGACCTGCTTTCTCAAGTCCCACCTCTCCCGCTCCTTCACCTGCAAGCCCATGTGCCCTGTAGCAAATTGTAAAAAAGACAAAACCCCCAAGTGTCCCAAAAGCCTGCCTGCCAGGAAGTGACTTGACCTGGTCCAAGGGGTGCGGAGGGGAAGGAAAACACATTGATGGGTTAAGGCAGGTGGGGGGAGTGCGGCCCAAAGGTTCTAGTGAAGGACCATTACAAATGCTCTGCCTGGCGGCAGGTGGCATGGAGGTTAGGGCACTGGACTCCCACATGGCCAACTGCAGTTCGAGTCCTGGCCCTGGCGGCTTGCTCTCTCTCTCTTTCTGGTCAAATTAAATAAACAGGGACCAGCAGGTGGCGTGGTGGTTAAAGGTGCTGGACTCCCACACAGCTGACCACAGTTGGAGTCCGGGACCTGGCTTTCTCTGTTTGCTACCGTCAAATTAAAAACAATAATGATAAGTAAAATAAAGAAATAATTATCTTTAAAATAAGATAAAGTTAAATAAAATCATTCTTTTTAAAAGTAATTACATTTTTATGAAACTATTTTATCTAACTTTATTTATTTAAATTTGACCAGAGAGGGACAGAGAGAGAGGGAGAAAGTGAGAAAGCAAGCCACCAGGTCTGGGACTCGAACTGTGGTCAGCCATGTGGGAGTCCAGCGCCCTTAACCACCATGCTACTTGACAGCTCCTAAAAATAATTACTTAATGGGAACCAGCAGTTAGCGTAATGGCTATGTCGCTGGACTCCCATGTAGTCGACCGCGGTTCATGTCCTGGACCCGGTGGCTTAAAACTCACGCTGAGCGTGTGTACATAAGTGCCCAAGATCCCGAGAGGAGAATGGAGGAGAAGGGATTGTGGCGTGACCATCCCCCCTGGGGGGTGATTTCTCGCTTTCTGTCTCTGTCTCTGGCTGGCTGGCGAGCGCACGCCCCCTATAGCGAAAACCTCTCCAAAATAAAAAATAAAAATAAAGAATTACTTAATTTTATTTATTCATTTCATTTAACTTGACTAGAGAGCGAGAGAGAAAAAAAGGTCAGAAAGCAAGCCAAAAGATCCGGGACTAAAATCGTGGTCGACCATATGGGAGTGTCCAGCGCCACCCGCTGGCCCCCAAAATAATTTTTTTTTCTTTTTTTTGAGAGGTTTTCACTATGGGGCACATGCGCTCGCCAGACAGACAAGAGAGAGACAGTGAGACAGAAAGCGAGAAATCACCCCCCCGGGGGGGATGGTCACGCCGCAATCCCTTCTCCTCCATTCTCCTCTCGGGATCTTGGGCACTTATGTACACGCGCCCAGCGTGAGTTTTAAGCCACCGGGTCCCGGACGCGAACCGCGGTCGACTGCGTAGGAGTCCAGCGACATAGCCATTACGCCAACTGCTGGTTCCCGCCCCCAAAATAATTCTTAACAAACGAAAACCTGCTCTGCAAGGAACACGACAGCAGGTGCGACACGCTCATGTCCTTTTAGCACCGGCGACGGTAAAACCGACACGCCGAGGAGACGCCG